GTTCCATACAAGTGTGTATTGAACCTAAAGCACTGTTCGATACGGTTCGATACGGGTACATGTATTGTTGCACCCCTAATGCGCCGATATAAAAATTTCATCTGATATCAATATCCGATATTAGAATAGAATAGAAACAGCCTTTACTGTCCCGCAGAGGGGACAAGAAACACAAACAGCAGCAAGTGGGAAAACAATATCTGATATTATTGTTCTTTAGTTTTTTTTGTCGGGCCGATACTGATGTTGATGCCAATATATAGTTCATCCCTACTGGTTTTTCTCATTTTCCTTCTCAGTATTTTTCTTTTTGGGTCTCAATGTGTCATTTTATATTTGGTTTCTTTTTATTTACAAACCGGTCCTTAAACTCCCAGCAGTGACTGTTTGAAAGGTCTGAAACATTACAAGAGTTGTGTGTGTGTGTGCAGAGTGRATCAAGCTTCCTGTGAGTTTGTGATTGGCTGGGAGACTCACTACGCCTGCGCGGAGAAGCCAGTCGAGGTGGAGTTGGTGAATGGGATGATAAAGGTTCCGGACACTGGAGCCATTGTGAGTCTGGGGGCGCTCTACTCCAGGTAACCAACGCAGAAGTCCACCTGTTCACCTGTGTGTCCAAACATGTAGTTTAGTCATGAAGACGTTTTAAACTTGACAGTATTTTGAAATGTCACYATCTACCAACAGTGATTTGGAATTTCTCTAGCAAGCTTACCTTGTTGCTGTCCCACGTTGGCTCTGAAGACTTAATACTGTAATGCTAATGATTAGATTGAATATATAACCTGTATGAGTAATTTAATAAAAACAAAACGTTGACAAGTCGGCATAAGTTGCGCAAAATGTTACAGTGTGACAGGGCCTTAACAGGGACCTTATTGCTCTGATCAGAGGTGGCTACAAGTTCATTCACATCTGTTGTCCCTTGGCAGAGGCACAGTGACAGCAAGTTAAAAATAAGCCATACACAATTTTTAACATACAATTCAATACAAATAGTTAACACACCATAATAACTACAAACCTGATGATCTTTCAACCTTTAATTTACATTGAATTTAAAATGTTACGTAGTACGAAATCTGCAACACTTACAAGTAGGCCCACCAGCCTGGCATGGGAAACTCCATTGCTGAATATGGTTCAGAACCTGTCAAAAAGATTGGTGGCATTTAGTCAGTACATCTGAAGCTGCTTCTGAGTATCCTACATGGCCGACGGTATCCCAGAATTCATTGCGCCGTCAAGAAATTAAACAAAAGATTTTTTTAAGACAGTTTGAAAATTTATTACGAACTGAAGAATGTAAGTTAAACAACTTAGCTGAAGAAAGTTTGTTGCAATGAGATGCTAAATAAAATGCAGTTACCAGTACTGAAACTGGAGCTAAACCCAAATAAGTAATTTAAAAAAATTTACTTGCAAATTTTTTCTATTAAGACTTAATTTTGTGAAGTTATACCTTGAAGAAACAACTTTAGTGATGTTATAAAACGTATCACGATGGTTACGATGCAGAACGTGGTCACACAAACATACGTCTTCTTTAGACTAGACTAGAGATGTGACGTTCGCGAACGATCCGAATCTTTTGAACGGTTCTTTACGATAGGAACGATAGGAGCCGAATCGCCGGCAGTAACGAGCCATTTGTAGTTTTATTTCTTTTATTCCTCATATAATCTTTTTTTCTTACTTAAATTGCTCCCGCTTTGCTTTTTCACGGAAAATAGGCGGAGTTGTGGAGTACAGAAGCTCACTGTGAAAGGGGGAGGTTTTTTTTTTTTGCTTGACAAACACATGGTTCCACCCACGTGATGGGATTACGTCATTATGTACGGCTACGTGATGATGTATTTCCCTACGTGATGATGTAATACGTTCAAAATCGAACGGTTCTATGAAACAAATGGCTCCCCAAGATCCAGATCCATTCAAAGAGCCATTTATCCCATCTYTAGACTAGACCGTCTCATTTCACAGCCRTTTATGAAGCAGACACGAGCCGCCTACGGCCCACGTTGACTGTGGCCAACAATAAATTAATATTCTAAATCTAAAAGCTGCCACGAATATATCATCAAATTTTTTAGTCTAACCATTGAAAACATGGATGAAATAAGAAATATAAAACATACTGAGTATTTTTCTTCAAATTAAAATGTTTTGAGATAAAAGGGCAATATATTGCGATATATCATATTGTGACCMTTGTCATGTTATGACCAAATTCTTGCCAATACACAGCCCAAATGATATGAAAATTCATGCGTTATGTTTTTCTTAAACCAAACAGTAGCTKTGTCTCCATTGCAAATGTGTGCAAAACTTTGTCGATATTCTGTTAATGTTGAAAAAACACAGTTTCGCAACTGCAGTGTTTCCATTAAGTAAGAAATGTTATTAAAGTCGCGTGAATAAGTTTGTTCTTGTGATAAGTCATTACAAACATGGCGGCAACGGATGTAAACACATAGCATGTTGCTACCACGACACTAGCGCTCATCATCAGAGGAGACGTCGGTGTCTTTTATCGAGGCTTTCCAGAGACAAGTCCCTACTTGGGAG